AAATGTCAAAATGTAGATTCTGATTTAGTGTATCTGGGGTTGTTGTTAGGTGCCACTGAGTTGGTTGCAACTCATAGCAATACTAGGTACAAGAGAACCAAACACAGGCAGTCCTGTGCCATCCTCACCATCTTTGCTGTTTGAGCCCATTGTTACAGCCACTGTGCCAATCCATCTCATTGAGGGTCTTCCTCTTTTTTACTGACCCTCTACTTCACCAGGCATGATGTCCTGCCCAGGGACTGACTGGTCCCTCCTGATAACATGACCACAGTATAAGAGACAAAGTCTCACCATCCTTGCTTCCAAGTTGCAGTGTACTTATTTCAAAAGATTTGGTCATACATCTGCCAGTCCATGGTATATTCAATATTCTTTGCCAACACCATAATTCAAGGTTATCAGTTATTCTTCAGTCTTCTTCATTTATTGCCCACCTTTCGTATGCATATGAGGTGACTGAAAATTTCAGGTGTACCTTAGTCTTCAAAGTGACATCTTCGCTTTTTATCATTTTAAAGAGGTTGTTGACAGCAGATTTGACTGATGCAATACATTGTCATTTGTTTTCTTGACTCTTGCTTCCATGAGTGTTGATTGTAGATCCAAATAAAATGAAGTCCTTGACAACTTCAGTCTTTTCTCTGTTTATCATAACGTTGCTTATTGGGTCAGTTGTGAGGATTTTTGTTTTTGGTATGTTGAGATGTAATCCATGCTGAAGGCTGTAATCATTGATCTTCATCAATAAGTGTTTCAAGTCCTCTTCGCTTTCAGCATGCAAAGTTGTGTCATTTGCATGTTGCTGGTTGTTAATGAGACTCCCTCCAACCCTGATGGTGTGTGTTTCTTCATAAAGTTTAGCTTCTCAGATTATTTTCTCAGCATATAGATTGATTAAGTAAAAGGAAACAAGCCTGACACATGCCCTTTCTGATTTTAAATTATGCAGTATCCCATTGCTCTACTCAAGGACTTGTACATGTACAAGTACTTGTACTCATGCCTCATTTGCATATTTAAGTGTCTGGAACTCCCATTCTTTGTAAAGTTATCCATTATTTATTATAATCCACATAATCAAATGCTTTTGCATAATCAATAAAACACAGGTAAACATCTTTCTAGTATTCTCTGCTTTCAGCCAAAATCCACCTGACATCAGCAATGATATCCATCATCCCACATCCTCTTCTGAGTCCAGCTTGAATTTCTGGCAGTTCTCTGTCTCTGTACTGTTACAGGGAGCTCTGGTAGCATAGTGGCTAAGGCACTTGACTGCTAACCAGAGGGCTGGCGGTTCAAACTCACCAGCCACGTTACAATAATTTATTAACAATTTTCAGCAAAATTTTACTTGTATGTAATATTAGTGATATTGTTTGATAATTTCTACATTCTGTTAATTCACCCTTCTTTGAAATGGGCACAAATATGGATCTCTTCCAGTCAGCTGGCCATGTAGCTATCTTCCAATTTACTGGAATGTGTGCTTTCAGCATTCCATCCATTTTTTTTTTTTTTTAATTTATTTGTTTTTATTTGGGTGAAGATTTACAAAGCAAATTCACTTTCCATACAGCAGTTCACATATACTTTGTCTCATGTCATTGACCTCAGTTTACCACAATGCAACAGCTCCCCTCCCACTTCCTCCC